TCCTAGTGTTTTGAATAGCCAGCTGGCCAGCATTAGATATTTTCAAGCAGCAAGGAAAGAGAAAAGGTGACTCAGGTATTTTGTCTGCATTGTGCATCACCATACAAATAATCAGAGTCTTAATCATATCAGTCATTCTGATATCAATCATAACCTATCTGAAAAGCCCCTCATTGCCACATAATAGTCATGTTATCTAGAAGCCTGATACACTGGAGTATAACGAGAAAGGGTACATCTAGACAGAAGACAGTGGCAGTACTGGGATGTGAAACTTCAGATCATCAAATATAGAGTCTAACAGTCCCTCTGATTTCACATTTCCCTTGGAAGCTTAATTTTTTAGAAGAATGTGAGGATGGATGATATCTCTGAGAACATCTGTCTTACCTATTTTTTTTTTTTTTCTCAGTGTCTTCTTCTTTCTTCCTCCATGTGTTGGCAAATCACTTCTGAAACAGATGGGACTGTCACTCAGTCATTAAATAACTTGATTGAAACCACTCCTTAAAACTGTAATATATTAAGGCTCCTGATCATCAGGGATGATATTGGAGAAAGTGCAGCATCATGCCAGTATAGTTGACTGTGGAATCAGGAGCAGGGAGTTGCAAGATGGGATTTAAGCATTTATAGAAGCAGTTAGGTCTGCCTAGATATGTACATAGATGTGAATATATCAATCTCAATTTAATCTGCCCTAATCTATACAGTTTTGAAGTTCACTGGGCTCCTGTAAACCCAAGTATCTACTGTTTAGACTTTGTAATAGCTACCAATTTACCCTGCTCATTTTTATAGCCGTGGACACCTTTTTATAGCCATGAGCATTAACAATAACAAGTGTATAAAATTCTTTCCTCCTTTTTCCCCTCTCACTTTCTCTCCCTTGTCTTAGCTTTAGACTGAAGAAATTTTCTAAGAAGCCATAGTCCCCTCATTTTTAAGAAATATATATATATATATATTTCTGTGCTTTAAATTGTGCATTTTGAGAAGTCTGGAGATAAGACCAATGCGTTCATGATGTGTGGAACCCCAACACACATCATTAATATATTTTTCCCCTGGCCCTTACTGTACTGTAATAACTAGCCATCAATGGACTTAATTTTAGTCTATTATAAACATACTTCCTGAAATAGCTGGGACTGAATCCATTCGCATTACCACTTAGCCAATTCCACTTCATGGGCCAGAGAAAAGGGTGCTTTGAGGATTCATTTACTTTTACAGAAGTCTCTCACACACACATATAAAAATCTCTGATATATCCTTGTTACCTATTTGCTTTTATACATGTCTTCATAGTCGCTAGCTAAAATAAATAGGGATTTTCATCACTAGCTATACCTTTAATTCACTGGAATACAGGTTACAAAAGCAAAGACATAGCCCCTCTCCTAAATGTAATCTAATAAATTTAACATCAGTCCTTCCAGTTTCTAGCAGCATCCAAGGATGAAGAATCCATGACTTTTACTGTAAAGCTTATTATTTTCTGCCACTGCTGCACATAATCATTAAGTAAATTACCACTCATCATCATATATTTTATTTATCTGCTTTCCATGGCAAGGTAAAGCTGAGTTGGTCCACTGTCCAACGCAAATGATAAATTCTTAAATCATTAATAAAAAGAAGCTTCCAATTAAACTGCCCTATTATATTTAACTAAGCTGTCCTGGACCAATTACAACCATATTTCTTAGTGGTCTAATTAGGTTCATTGCAGTTCCACAGTTGGGAAGCCTGTAATGAATGAACACACGAGAAACATAGTTCAGAATCCATGTGAGTGATCATTAATATGCTCTGGGCTGCTGCTTTGGAAGAGGCTGCACCTAATTATGTGGGTTAATGCACTTACACTAAATGGATGAATTGCAGCCATTTTCAGTGTCTCGAGGCCTCTTAGATAGACAGAGCTGTAGATTAATAAGTAGTTAGAGAGGGATCTGTTGACCTGCCCCATCGTTCTTCACTTTCGCTCCATATGTTTTTAGAAGCATGAAGTGCTAAAGTGGAGAAATATGCCAATCACTGCCATTTCCATTCTGTTTTTTTTTCCAATGCTGCTTAAGAAATTATTTGAATTGATGAACAGCAAAACAGAGCATCTGATATTTTCAATAACTTCAGTTGGCTTTGGAGCAAAACCATTATGCATAGAGGATAATAGATGCCTTGCTAGTATAAAACAACTTAAAATATAGACTGCGGTCTTTCATCTAGCTATAACTGCCTAAAATGTAAGCATATAGAGTCTAATGGTATTGTTTAGCATCCCTCTATGTCAGAAAAAGTAATGCAGGGAAAGTTATCTTCCCTTCCCTTCCCTTCCCTTCCCTTTCCTTTTTTTTCCTCACTATTCTTCTCTTATTTACAACCTAATGGATATTTAAGCATGCCATGAAAATCTTGAGCAGAAGAGGTTGGAATAGTTTCATTCTCCACCAAGACAACTTGGTGTTCAGCACCCACACTATAAAAATTTACCAAATCTTGGAATTTTGGGGGATTGCTGAGACTGTTCAGACTCAAAAAGAGACAGTTTAGGAGATATACGATAGCGATCTGCAAAATCCTGATTGAATTGAAAGGGTATATTTGGGATAGAGTGTGGAAATCTTTTCCATAAAAGGGGGGAAAATAAGACATCAAACAGAAGCAGTAGAAGACATGTTCAAATATACATTTTCTTGCTCTGTAGGTGGTAGACCTCTGTTAAAACTCTTTTATAAAGAACTTTGTTGATGTAGAAAATTCTCATGGCTTCCTGGAATTCTGGCCAAGATTTGGATGATAAATCCATTTAGTAGAGATAGATAGACAGGCCACATCAGAATCAAGAGAAATAGTTGAAATCTTAAGAAATATTAGGGAGGAAGGTTCATAGGTGTTTTCTTCTGTCCATTTATAGCCAGTGTAGGGGGCCAAACACCATAAGAGATGGATCCTTGAGATGAATCAGTACCACTGTTTTTAATTCCTACACTACAATGATGATGATTTATGCTGCTTCTCAGGACTTCCTTCTGGTTGGCTTTAACAGTCATCTCCCCAGCATAATAGATTTATATAGCCCATATGCAAAGCTTAAGATCCTACATATGATGCAAAAGGAGAAAAAAGGTCAAAAAGATTCTTGGCACCTAGATGGCAGGTACAACGGTATCACTTGTGACACCCACACTGAAGACCTTGGTTTGAGGAAGAGGCCTTTTTGCAAAACCTTAGATCTGAGAGAGTCAACTGTCTTCAGAATGACTTGCCTAAGTGATGCTAACTGCACTCTACATAGCTGCTTTCTTGATGTTCATACTTGTCCTCAAGGCATTTGAAAAAAAATGCTTCCTATTCCTTTCTCAAGTAAGATGGTCTGACAGTTTAATAATTGAGTTGGGTACTTAGCTCACTACATTTCCATTGGGCCTCTTTTTAATTTATTTTGTCAGGATCTCTTTTTAAATTTCTTTCCACTGTTGCCAGGGTGCACTGTCTACTCAGGAATATCCATGAAAAATGGTTTCATTAGGATTTTCTCCTGTCACATCATGTTCTTGTATCCCCTCCACTACGCTGGCTTGAGGGATCTTTCCAAACTGAGTTGCCTCTTGTTGGAAGGTCTTGGACCCAGTGACTCTATCTGGAACACTGTAAAGAAGAAAAAAGCTATGCCAGCATGCACGCTAATCATTTTCATACAAATGGACAGAAGCATCAGTAGCATAAACAAGTATTTAATGGCATTGTTGGATTCATTTGCTATGAGGAAGAAGGCAGAAGTGAGTGAAGCAACAGAAAACATATATTCAAAATGAGCATACTGTTTTAGAGCAACTTAATGGATTTTCGTTTTTCTTTTTCGTTTTTCTTTTTCTTTTTTTTTTTTTTTTTTAACAGTGTTTGCTATTATAATCAGGTCTATATCAGTTCACTCAGAACTCCCTCAGTGTCCTTTTGCATTACTACCAATGAGGTAATCAACTGAGCTCCTAATGAATGGGATTAGTGAATGGGCAAAGTTTATTTGTTCTGAGTTCCTTGTTCACATTTTCAAATTTACTGTTAGAGGCAGCTTGCAGTTCAGCTGCTGCAGTGCTCTGTTTCAGCACCAGCAGTAAGTCCTCTATAGCAAGGTAAAGCATCGTTGGTATCATTGTCAGTAACTGCATGCCAGCATTAAATTTACTTGGAGAAAGACTATCCTTCCATTAAATAACTTTCTTTAAAAGCAACTATTGTATATAATGATGAGTAGACTTTACCTACCACATTTAGAATAAACCAACAGAAGATGTGACTTTTGTTTCTTCACTCCCAAATTACTGAAATAGTTTATGAAGCTTTATAGTTTTGACCCTAAATGGGGTCAAAAACACCTGAATGATTTCTCTAGGTATTTCCTGTGCTCAAACTTTACTGAGAAAAGACTGATTTTTGAACACAAAGAATGTAATTGAAACCAGTGCAGCAAATGAAAATCTGTTTAATATTTTAATGATAACCAACATTGCTTCATATAGAACTTGCTGTTTTGTTTTTGATTTTTTTTCTTCTAGTGGGACATATTTGGGCAAAAAAATGTAACTTTCTATCGACAACATAGCACTTTGTGAAATATTCTCTTCAATACTTCCTATGACATTTTAATTAAAATCATTTTTGAAATGTTTTATTTACTGAAGGAAAACTGAATTTATAGTACATGACATATTTAAATGTATTTAAACAGCATTTTCAATCATGTTTTCATCAGAAAATATTGTCAGGGAAAATGGAATAAAATTCCCAGTGTGGAATCCATTGAAAAGGAATAAAAAAAAAAAAAAAGATTTTTTTATGACATGCTTTGCCTTATTTTTTCAACCAGATTAAAGATCTTTTACTTTTCTTGAGAAAAAAAAATGTTTTAATGCTCATTTGTCCAGCTTTTTCTCTGTTTCTCATAAATAAATGTGTTATTCTGAACATGATCCCACGATCAGCTAAGCACCTAATTTATCTGTTTGCAGATGGCATATGTAATTATGAAATGGCTTAATTCTGATATGGCAGTGCTAATTTTAAAGCGGCAGTGCACAGTACGACAATATGAGCTAGATGATGTTTAAAACTTACCAGAAAAAGAGCTGAAGTGAATTAAACAGAACAGTTTGATTTATGTTGTTTAAAATGCACAAAAGAAGAAATGTTAAAAACACAAACAATAAAGATAAATTAACATCTGCTTATCTTATAGAACCCTAAATATCAAGTTTGAAAGGTAAAAAAATCCTTAGACAAACAAAAGTACAACTGAAATACATAATGCAAGGTCAAATAGAGGGTGTGTTTTTAACGAAGGAAACATTCATAATTATACTAATACATGGTATAAAACTTAGCTTTTCTTTCATACAATTACAGTGTTTATTGGTTATAGCAATTCTAATACAACATAATCAGTAAAGCAGACGCTGATGTAGGACATAGATGTGAAATGCCTTGAGAATGCCTTCCACTTCCTGGGGTGATCAGTGGCTCTGCAAAAGCAAAAATAACTGATAAGTATTCATGGGATTCCCCAAGATTTGCTGATACAAAGTTCTTGCTGATGGAAGGATGGCTAGTCAAGATGGCCCCAAAACACATAATCAACAGTGAAGTAGACACAATCTCAGAAAAGTGTTATTTTGCTGATTCTAGTTTAAAGTAATTGCAGTAGAAGTAGGGAGGCTGAGTGTAGAGGCAAAACGAATTTAAAAGAAAACGTTGAGCACAGCCTAATACAAGAAGAAAACAAGTGAATTTTGTATCTTCTTCAATGTTGGCAGCTCTAAGCATAGTAGCTATAGTGTGGTATTGATTCAGTTCACAGTATCTAAGAAGTATTGATCTATTCTATATTATTTTTCCAAACAGTGAAGCTAGTATGCAATTTAACTTACTTAATAGGAAATATTTAGGTTACATCTCTACAATATAAAATATTTACACTGCATAATGTAGTCAGTTAATGGAAATTAAGAGGTTAGTTTTTAATAAAAGTATACGTTTCTCTCCAATTATTATAAGAAAAGCCTGCTATGATGACTTCTAAGATGCACATTAGCACAATAGCCTTCTAAGGCTAGAAAAATTGTTTTGTTCTGTTTCTCTTTTTTTTTTCTGTAGTTTTGTTTTGTTTTGTTTTCCCTCCGTGCCTTGTCAATCAGATCAACCTATTTGCCTACTAAGGATCAACATGAAAAACATAAGTAGGTTTTTGTAATGTTTGCATTATTTTACTTCTTACTTCTATTACATTATTTTTACTTTGTTTCTTCTTACTTCTTTACTAATATCATTTACCTTTATGTTATGGTAGGAAATCTGTTGTAATTAAGGGAAAGGAAGAGGATGGGAGAAATTATTATCAAATCAAATAATTGATCACAGCTCAATTTTTGTTCTGTTGAAAATCTTACAAATATATATATATTATTTTAAATATGCTTAACTGTAAGCTGTAAAGCAGCAAGATGTTAAAACAGAACAGATTTTAGACTCACCCTAAAGCAAATAAAATCTGAAACCATGAACATAATGTTATTAAGGTCAATTATTAACATTGTTCGTAATGCAGTACTATTTAGATGATCTCCTGTAATCAGATATCCATCATGTGTGTGCTGTACATATAAAGCACAGAAACAGTTCCTGCCTTGTATTTGTATAAATATTTCACACAAATAATAGAAACATCAACTTATTTAGTGAGAAGGAGCTCCCTTCTGGAGATGACATTCATCTCATCCAATTTAGGGTGTAAATATCTCCATCTGAGTATCTGTCCAGGCTCCAATCACTGCAATTACAGATCTAACCAATACATTCAATAGGTTTAAAGGGTGGGAATGATCAGAATAAAGATATTAGCTTTAGAATGACCTAAATTTCACTGACTGTATTGATGAGCTCTGCATTAACTACAAAGGGATATTCAGGATAACTTTGATGCAGGATGCACACTCTAGACATCTACATATGGTTGTATAAATTTAGTAGTACAAAATCTATTATTATTATAAAAGGATTTACTACAGTTACTAAGACTAGTGGAAATGCTCTTGAAAGCAGATGAACACCAGTAATCACATAACTCTTTCAAACACTTTCAAGCCATCCTCACTTTCCCATTCACTGTTAATACTTTGTTAAAAGAAAAAAAAATAGAAAAACAGATATAGAAATAGAAATAAATAGGAAAAAAAAGTGTGTTTTTTTTTTAAGAAATTTACTGAACGCTGAAGTAGTTCTGAGTTTAAGTGATGGACTACATTGTCTTATTTTACTTCCTAAACACATTTAGAATAAAATTACAATCTATATCTCAAAAAAAAAAAATCTTTTGGGGCAGATTTTTGAGGAACTTTACTGCTAGAAACCTGGGTGATTTCACACATTGCATGCCCACGTTTCAATGAGCAGTTTGTATCACCTTCCTCATCAAATTTAACCTGATTTTTTTTCATACTAAAGTAGCTGTCTAAAATAGGTCAGATGAGTTCCATTTCTCATGTTTTCTTTTTTTTTTCTGTAATGAAATATTAATTTAAACACTGTCATATCTACACTTGGAATTGACTCTTTTAAAGCAAGATAGGATAACAAATTTCTCTAAGATTGTTAGCTACATACAGAATTTTATGGTTTAAATTTTATATTCAAACACATACTCATCAATTATGTAGGTCATTAGTGTTTGATCTGGTTTATGAGTGTACCCCTTAACTGTTTCCAAGAAGAGACATGCAAGAAAAAGAGTGAAGAGGAACGGACTTGAGGATGTAAACCCTGACTTCACTGGAAAGTTATTACTATAGGCTTAATTGCTGAATGACGAGTCTCCAGGAAAGAATAAAGAATTTGTAAAAAAGAAAGAAACAACATACCGAAACACTGGCACATACCATCTCTTTGAAGATGAATCTAATCAGACACCAGATTAGTCTGAAAATTGTATTACTGACATTGTGAATCTCCTATACTTAAGCTGTTATGTAAGCCTTTGTCCAAAAATATTCTAAGATGATGAGATTTTGCTCACAGAAAGAAAGAAAGAAAGAAAGAAAGAAAGAAAGAAAGAAAGAAAGAAAGAAAGAAAGAAAGAAAGAAAGAAAGAAAGAAAGAAAGAAAGAAAGAAAGCCCAAGCCCTATGTTCCTATGTTACAGGCATATTTTGATGAGTCCAAGAGAGCTGTTGCCTGTACTACAAACCAGTTTCTGGGGATTCACTATGTAAAAAGACATTATCACCATGTTTTCAGCTTCAGGCTAGAGAGTTAGTATGTAGCTAATGAGAATTTACTTACATGCACTGCTAAATCTGAGCTGTAAAGATTTCTCTTACCAAACTATATTCCCTACCAGTGTTGCAGTACATGTTAAAGTAAGAATGACAGAACTGATAAGACAATCTAGAGTGTAACAAAACTGTGTAGTGGTGTCAGTCTGCGCTTTAAAGTTGGAACTGAGGATTATGGCAGAAAATCTAATAGATAATGTTGTATTTCACACACCAAATAATGCTATCTTGACTCCAGAAATTGTGACAAGCTCTGTTTCACAAACAAATGAAATGTCCATGGCTTGGGATGTGTCACAACGGATGAGAAGGGAAGTAGGAAAAGGGAAAGTGGTAATTCACCCCATCCCATTAAAAACAAGTTTTGCTATGCAATATTATATGGTAATCATACGTCACCAAGTCTTCAAAATTCATGATTTAGTATTGACTTCAAGGGTTTTGAATTATCTGATGTCAAATATGTGCAACATCAGATAATGACATCAAAAGCTTTGCTCTGATTAAATAGCAAGAGATATATCAAATCTCAGCAGTACTGTCTTATCAGATTAAAAAAAAAAAAGAAGAGAGAAAACTTCTACTTATGAATGAACTGACCTCATTTCTTCTCCAGTCATGACACACTGCGCATATCAGAGCTGTGTATGATTGAAAGGTCATTACATAGTTTTTTAGCACGACAACGTTTAATCCTAGACATAGTTGCTTTTCAACCTCCAGTAAGTTCTTATTATTTGATTCATGAAGTTGACATAAGCACTGAATACCTTGTTTTGAGGTTGTGTGAAGTGTAAAAATTGGATTCTGACAAGTTCTTCCAGTAAGCTCTAATAGGAGCCCCCAGGAGCTACCTGAAGCACAAATTTATGAGCTAGTGTAATTCACCAAAGACTTGCTGACACTTCATCAGCTTTTTCTCTAGTCAATTATTTTGGTCCTTAAAACTTCACTTCTTCCAATCGTTTGTCTATACTGCATCCTTTAGGCCACTGATTATTCATGCTGGTCAGACTGTTCTAACTATTGATTAGTTAAACACTTGTCTAACTAATTAGTTAACTCTTGTTAACTATTGATCTCATATGTGTGCTCTAGCTCAGGGTCCTCCAAGTGAGCCATGGATCACTGTGTGTTTTCAGACTGGAAAAGGTAGGAAATATGAATATTTGTCCCAAACTGACAGACAGAAACAAGTTAGACATTAATTCTGTGACCAAGGTGAGTATAAAGGAAGAACTCCTTCAAGCCTATGCCAGTGAAAGGCTGGATAGAAAAACAATCAAGCTGTCCAAATAATGCCTTACTTCTCTAGAGTGAGTGTGTTGAGGCCATAGTCCCAAAAGAGATGCTTTCTCCATAAAGTGCTTACTCATTTTCTCCCCATATTATCTTTCTTTTAAAAGAATTGCCATAAGTCTTCCCAAAGAAAATCCTTCCTATTTGGGATGTGCAATTGCAGCTGTCCAATGCCAAGCTGAACACACTTCTCTAGAAATATCTTCCTCAGAACAATGAAACATGCAAGATTGAGTCTTGAAATGGGGTTATCAGTGGCAGAAGGATTATGACTCCATTTAGCTGCCTTGAAAAAAGGTTAAAATTGCCAGCAATGCATGATCTAAATCTAAGTGACATTAAACAGATGGCATTGAATAGCCAAGAAAATAGCATAGGTCGTTCTCCATCAATGAGCTCTGTTTGCAGTTTAAGCTGCATTTACTTTGCTCAGCTGCAAGACACAGCCTTTCTTTTGTATTAAGCTTTTTCATGTTTAGAAAGCAAATTGGAGGACTTGGGATGTGGAGATGTCATTACCTTAAGAGTGAGAAATCCTGTTTTACACAAGGAGGAAGAAAAAGAGAACATAGCACAGAAATCAATGCTGCTGTTTCAGGGCAGGGTGTTTCCTCCTGTTGCCATGCAGAATGAATGGGTGAATGATGCTTTTCACTCTTTTGCAGATGTTTTTCAGGCAAAACTTGCTAGCAGAGATTTGCAGGACTATGTTCCCACCTGCATCCTTGAACCTCTATGGTAATAGAGGCAATATGAAGGTGTTCAGAGCGGCCCAAAACAATATGAACTTTACTACTATTACTATTTAATAATAATTATTATTATTATTCAGCAGTCAAACATTCGAGCCAGAGGGTGCCCATCTTCATCCCCCTTCATTGACAAGTGCCTGGAGTC